CCCCCATGGAATTTACACAAGCAACAGCTGTTGTATTAATTGTTTTTGTTTGTGTAAACACCACGTAAATTTATTACTGCAAAGCTTTCGATCCGTAAGCCCGGATCTTTATCAGTGCTAATAATATGTGACTTGTTTAATTCACACGCTCTTTTTATATACAAGAGTGTCGTGATCTGTTGGCTCGCGCCATTTGAAATTTAATTAAACGGCACATCAACCACGTCATTTCAAACGTAGTGAAGTGATTCCAATTAACGCGTGCGCATCCAAGACAAGAGAAATTAATCTTGCACATTAAAGAGAGCACGCCACGTACTATCTAGTGGCTTTTCCTCCTGATCTATAGTATTGTGCTTCTCGATTTCAATTGACTCTCTCATTTTGCGAGAGAACTTATGACTATCAATCGCCAAAATGGTTGCTTCGTCCCATTTTATACGATGGTCGTAAGTCCAAGTATGTTTACTCTTGTATATAAAAAGAGCGTGTGAATTAAACAAGTCACATATTATTAGCACTGATGAAGATCCGGGCTTACGGATCGAAAGCTTTGCAGTAATAAATTTACGTGGTGTTTCCACAAACAAAAACAATTATATTTTATCGCCATGCAAACATTCAAAGAACTTATTAGCTGTTGTATTATCCATAAAGGCTTGTACATGCTTGTGTTGCAAATTTCTATAGAATGATTTTAAGCCCATGAACAAAGCTTTAAGTTCTAAACTATTAATGTGTTCTTGGGATTCGAGGCTAGTCCATCGCCCTCCAATTGCAGTTTTATTTACTACCGCTCCCCATCCCATCTTAGATGCATCTGTGTGGATGGCGATATCAGCCTGGGTCTCTCAACCGGCTTAAAAGCATTTTCAATATTATCAACCCACCACTTTAGGTCTTCTACGCATTCATTATTAATGGAAACCAGTGCCTCAAAGTTTCCTTTGCTTGATTTAAGCGCTTCAGATTTTAACATTTCTAATGACCTATAATGTAATGGACCATATTGCACTCCAGGAAAACTAGACACCAAAATGCCTATTAAGTGA